CCAGGTCTCTCAATTAACTGTGGGGGTGGCCAGAAAATCCCCCACAGTACTGAGATTGGAGGTATGCATGGCCATAGCCAACTTTTTACATGACAACTGGGAATTTGATCTCAGGTCCAAACTTTACGCAGCTAATGCTTTTACCTACTTTGCCATTCCCCAAGTCCTAAAGTCTAATTTTAAAGAAATGTCTGTTCTATACTTCCATTTATTCTTTTCTTGGCTAATTTCTCAGTTTGGATTGTGATTAATGTTTATACATTTCTTTTCAAATGGATAGTGATTACATTTAAAGTTCTGCATGTCCATTTTATTTTGTTCACAAGTTTTAGTATTGTCAAAAGTATTCCCTACACTTGATATTCAGTTAATTGGTGCAGGGACTGTTACAACAGTGAAAACTGACTAAGTAAAACAACATATGATGCTTATAAAATAAATTGAGTATATAAAGATTAAAGAATGTCAATAATGAAGTCTAACATGTCAAGACTAAGAGGAAAACAATATATACATATATGTGAGAAAATATGTTTATAAATTTGTTTATGTCAATATATGTCTGTGTTTGTATATTATAATGTAAAATAGGTCTTGTTCTGGCATAATATTTGGTATATAATATCAGTTGATAGGTGATAAAAGTATTTCTTGTCTCTGAGTCATTTGAAGAAACCAAATATATTAGTGCTGAGTCCCATTAAAATATTTCCTTGTATATTTTCATAATGAGCATTAAGAAAATATGTTTGGTAATTTAAGAATACAGCTATTCATTTCTGAGGAGTTTTTGTTTTCCCTATGCACTTTCAATTCATGTTGGTTGTTTCTAATTTAAAAACTGAACCCAAGGAAATGATACCCTTTGTTCCACTCTCAGTTTCCACGACATTTGCTTCTTGGTATCCATAACTTCTTTATCAGGGTGGTAGAATGGAAAGGTAATGTATGCCTCTGATGTACACAATGAGTTGAATTTACTGAAGCATTTTTCCCTCATGCATTGGTTTTCTAAATTCCATTATTTTTGAATCATTGACAATTGAAAGACTTTTTATTATATAAAATATATTAGCACTATCTTGTGAATAAATATAGATACTTGGGTTTACCTGAGCTTCTGTGCCACAAGGTAGCCATCTCCTGGTGCTCAGTGAGACCTGATGTTCCTCTTCCATTAGGCATGCACATTCCTGTGGGCCTGAGGCCTCCCTGCAGCATGGTTACTCATGTAGGTGTTCACCTCTTACCTGAGGCATGTAGGTTTTCACTACCAGTTTCAAATTTAAGACATGTGCTTTTTTACCCCTCAAACCACTTCAAAAGGAGTATGTACAAGAAAAAGGAAGAAAAACCTCTTGCTTACTGGATGACAAGACGTTCCATTAAGTCATCTAGCCAACACTTGCCTTGTCCAAAAGTTACCAAAGAAAAGGAACCTGTCCCCTCTGGGGTGTTGAGGCTCCTATTCAATTTATTATTAAGCAATAAGAGCTCTTTGCAGAATGAAACACAATTAAACCAGTGGAAGCTTTGTCACTAAACAAGAATGGAACATTGAGACCAAACAGGAATACAGGAAAGATAAATTAAAAGCAAAAACCAAACAGTGTAAGTAAGCAAAAGTTAATTAGGTTTCTAAGATGGTTTCCATCAGTGTCAACTTACTAGCTTTAGGCAAGGAGCAAACCCCTGCCTAATGATTATTCCTGAGTCACTTTGGGATTGTCTATGTTTCTTTCTTTCCTTCCTTCCTTCCTTCCTTTCTTTTGTTTTTATTTAATTTTTTTCATTTTACATGCCAACCCCAGTTCCCTTTCCCTAACCTTCCCTAACCTTCCCCCCCTCCCCCGTCTCCCCCATCCACACCT